AAAGGACAGGTCATGGCCTGTGTGGCACAGGATGTTTCCTACCCACTGTCAGTGTATTTTGTTGGAGCCAAGTCTCTAGGTTTAGGGGTTGCTTGGGCAAAGAGGGTTATTCCTAACACAGCAGGACTGTGGCTCTGGGTCTCTCTGTGTTTATGTGACATTTGGAGCCTGGGGCTGGTTTAAGCCTCCTTTGCCCCGGGAAACAAGAGGGTTGTTTGCCACCTTCCCAGCAGATTTGCCAAAGTTTTTTTTGCAATCCAGTGTGCAGCTCAGTTCTTGAGAAAGACTGTAAATACTTGTTCATATTTAAGAAATACCTAGAAATACCTCCCTGTGCCCGTAAATGTAGAAGAGAAGTGGTGGAGAGCTGGGGGGGCACACACAGAACAGGGAGCAGCACCGTGTGCTGGCAGCAGGAGCAGGACAGGCTGCTGGGAGCCAGAGCTGCAGGGGTTAGGGACTGCTCTGGTCCTCATCAAACCTTCCTCACACCCCCCAAACCTTCAGTCCCAGCTGTCCCCCCTCCTTCCTCCCCTAGTAGCCAACAGCCTTGTGCAGTAGGACCTGTGGATGGAGATATCCCAAAAAGGGAAAGCTAGGATCCTCTAGGAATTCCCATGGACGTGCCAAATACAAAATACCGAAACAACCCCCTCTCAGCAACAGACTAAATATGGTGTATACCCAAAGGATCAGAGCACAGGCCTGAGTGAAATTATTTCTCTTAACATCAACAGCTCTGTCTTCTCTGGAAAATAAACCCTCCTGGGGAAGATGGATGGGGCTCATATTGGTCTCATCATCTTAAAAAATACCTATGAGGGGAGGCTGGGCTGAAACCCTCTGCTGTCACTGGGTCAGGAACTTGCAGGTGTGATAAACCTGTAGCCCCTTCTAGTTCTGGCCAGAGGTGAAAAAATCTGGGCAAAGAGAAGAGAGGGAAAGAGCCCTGGGGTTTCTGCTCTGCAACATTTCAGAAATATCAGATGCAGGGTCAAGTTTATGCCTCAGCTGGAGAAGACCAGATTTGCTAGGGCAGTGACACAGTCCCAGAGGTCACAGACTGTCCTGCCAGAGGAAGGGTTGGTGTCTGCAGAGGTGTGGGGCTGCCACGGAGCCAGGCAGAGCCTTCCAGGACCCAGCAGCGCCATATCAGACCTGTGCATGTGTGACTCTGTTGGAGCAAAGCCAGGGAAATGATCACCACCACATAAATCCAAGGAACTTGTCCTTGTTGGCCGAATGAATGTTCCTCACAGGGCAGGGTAGTTCCCCCATCTTACTTTTTTCCCCTGCAGTTTCTTGATTGCAAACTTAGCTTTTAGTTAGAAACACAATGAAATGCAAGGGAATCCTCTGAAAAGTATGATCATTTTAACATTCATCAAAGTTATTCTAAGAAGTTCCTTTTAAACACATGCAGCTGTTTCACAAAAGCAGACACATTATAATAGTAGCTTAAAAAGGAGTGGAAATTATTCTGGCTGCTCTGCAAACCCCTGCACACGCAGGCTTGCTGCCCGAGGAGGGAGTTTAACAGCAGCACTGCTGGAGGGTGATATATGATGTGACATTAAACGGAGCTGGAAAGTCCAAAAAAATATTACTGCTTACTGCTGGGACTGAAAGAGTTGCACTCTCAAGCCATGTGGGGTAGGAATTGATGAGTATAAGCATGGCCTCCACCCTTCACGTAAAACTCATGTAAGAGAATACTAATCTGACAGCCTGCCTGGGGGTTCCTGAAAGTCGTGGTGTTTGCTTTAAACCAAACTTGCCTCTAAATGAAAACTGTGGATTTCATGATGAGGATGATGAGTTTGTTACAAGAAAATAAGCTTTGTTTAAACCCCCTTGATTTGTTTATTTATTTGTTTTAATTACTTTTCTAGAAAGAAATAAAGCATTAAGAAGCCTACCCTTAAACATCTCCTTACTGAATTTGCACTGTAAATATTGTACTTGGGGAAAAGAAAAGAGGACCCAAGAAGGAAAGAAGTGAACTTTTAGCTGCCTTACCATGATGTAACCTGAACACAAGAGGGGAAAAAAGAAAAGCACACATGGTGATGTTAGTTTGTTAAATAAAGCATCAGGTAAGCAATTTTTGTTTTGTTTAAAAATGTTTTTACTCAAGTTTTACCAACCATGTTTCTCCAAGATGACAATGTAATTAGAAGAGGTAATTGTACTGGTGGATTATCCCCTGTGTCAAGCTGTGCCCTTGCAGCAGGAGGGACAGTCTGTGTCCCAGCCAGGACAATCAATCTTGAGAACAGCCCAATGAGGGAAAGCACTCACCAACTGCTTGGTGTTTGTGCTTCTCGCTGCTGCAGGTGTCAGGTGAAGAGTGTGAGGTGCACAGAGCAGGTCAGAATCAGCTGCTGCTGAAAGGGTGTGTTTGCAAGTGTGAACAAAGCTTTTGGGGTTTCTTTTCCTAAAGGTGATTACCCAGGGCTAATCAGTCCTCCGGAAAACTGATCCAGTGACACCGAGATCGGGAGCCTGACATGGGGGTGCTCAGGAAGGAAAATGTAACTGACTCCTCAGGGGGAGCTGATAAAGCTTCAAAAAATCTCCTCTGTGCAGGACAGAAACTAAAACCTCTCAAACAGCACGGCTGCCCTGCATTTGAGAGACACAGTTTGCTCTCCTACAAGGGGAGAGCAAAAATTTGGTCTTGAAGAATTTTTTATTTTTAAAACTTGTAGGTTAAGTTCTTCCAAAATGCTTTCCAGATCTGATATCCACACCAGACTTCACTGGCTCCTTGTCACCTTCACTTGTGATAATGTGCTGAGACAACAAACAGCCTCTTTTAATGGCATTCCCTCCATAACGCTCTTGGTTAATGTTCAATCTCCAACAAAACTCACAAATGCATTTTGCTGTTTAAAGACCCTAAACTTCTTTATGCTTGTATTTTTTTTTTAAATTTTCTGTTGTCAGTAGAAAGAATAAGGGCAGTTAATACAAGACATCCCAGGCTGCAATTATGCAACTTCTGAAGTTAAGAAAATAATTTTTGTGTATGATCACCTAGGTGGCAATTTCTTCTAAAACCTGAACCTGTGACTCTAGGCCTGCGAAATATTTTGATCTAAATATTGATCTCACTTTAAAAGTTTAAGGAATGCTAAGTGCATCCATGTGGGAAAGATTTGCAATTCCTCTTCACCCAGTAACAAGGCAGGCAGTGTGACATTCAGAGGATTTGTTGTATGTCAGCGTCTTGAAAGATACTCTCATATTTCATGTACTGACAAGATAAATGCTAGATGATTAATAATATTATTAGACCAGTGTATTTTCATAGACATATTTCAAAGCTTTGTTGTAAATAAACATCACTGGAAATACATTTTAATTTGCCTTTAGTTTGCTTGTACAATGATTATACTTTGAAACAAGAGATTGTTTCTAACCCCCAGATGTGGGCTGTGAGGGTATTGGAGAATTAGATGAAATTCAAGTTACACAGAGCAAACAGACCAAATTCACCCAGTGTCCAACACAGTGTCTACAATGGGTGAATCCCCAGAGAGAACAGTCCAAGGATTCCCTTTGTTTCAAATGTGTTTTGTCTCTGATTTCAGACATATGCCTTTACCTCAAAGCTCAGTGAAGGATGCCCTTGTAGCAGCCTCTGCTTTCCTGACTGTGGAGAGAGAGGAGCCTGCTGAGCTGTGTGCCTGGGAAAGGGCAGGTACCAAACATCCTTTTGTCTTCTTCAGCCTGGGCAACTTTTTTAAATTTCTATCATAAAAATGAATTTCCCAGGGAGCTCCATGGCACCTGGGCAGCATCTGAATGATCTATGGTGGGAAGACAGAAAGCAGAAGCAGTGGCTTTGCTTACACTGAAACATTTGCATAGCAGAGGATTGAGCTTTTGTGTTTTCAGAGCCTTTCTTTACCCTTGAAAAGACAATGCAGAATCCAAATACACATAACAATTTGATCCATTGCTTCATGGAAAACACAGGTCTAGCACTGAACTTCCAGAAAATCAAAGGAAAAATTCAGGGATGGCTCTTCAGCCCAGCAGCTGAAGGTGACAGAGGTGTGAGCACAGAGCACACAGAGATTGCCTTGCCTGATCCAGTGGTCACTGCCACTGCTGCAGGGGACTTACAGACGGATTTGATTGAGGTTTATTTGCAAACACACGTCCTCCCCTCCTGGCAGCACTGCTGAGACACTCACACATCAGCCAAGGAGGAGCTGCCAGTACTGCCAGTCACACGGAGGAGATGAGCTCACTGCTGAGGCTTCAGATGGAACTGCAGCCTCTCTGCAATCCCACATCACAGTACGGGCTGCTGGGAGAAATAAAAAGTAGCCCTGCAATGCTAACTGGCTCAAATCAAGATAAAGGCAAAATTCCACAGTGTGAATTCACAACTTGGGGTCCTTCACAAACTGCAGGGTCTCCTCCTCTCTTCCTCCCTCCACAGTACCATTTATCTAACAATAAAGGAGATTTATTTATACAAAACTCCTCTCAGTACCACTGGATATATTTAAAATTTATGCATTTTGGTAAAATGAGAAGAGAAAAAACCAGATATTATTTTTTATGTATCCCCGCAAGTTTGGCCTTTAAAATAAATTACCATTTCAAAACATGTAAATATCTCAGCTAAAAAAGAGTTCTGGGAATCAGTTATCTACTATCAACTTTATTTTTAGCTTTGCCCAACTTAGAGTTTCATGCTGTTTGGGAAAAAACCCCAGAAGTTCCTTTGCCTCCCATATACCCAGTGTTACACTGCACAATTTATAGCAACTCCAGATGGAAAAAACTTACCCTTGTTTGTTTGCTGGAATGAAGATAAATATAGTCCCCATTTCTGGAGAACTAAAAACAACTATCCCTCTAAATCACTTCAATTCTTCTATTAGAATTTCTTTTCCCTTACTTATCTGAAAGTTGCAGCTTCTTTTTAAAAAGAATGATTAAAATGTTTAGTTTGAACACTCTCAAAAGACCACACAGAATAAAATTGAAAAATTTTATTCAGAAACACAGGAAAAACACACAAAGATATAAATGTAAGAATTATAAGTTATTATATAAAAATTTATTGGATAAACTCAGTATATTCAGGTGCAATTCTGGACACAGGATTCACTAATGTGAGTTCCTATACAGTCTTCCTTCTATCAGCACTGGGGAAAGAGAGCTTTGCTAACATTTTTACATTGTCAGTAAGCATGACCTTGTCATCCTGTCTCATGAGAAGATGTTACAAGCTAAAATGGTCCCACTGGAGTTACTGGAGAAATGTATGCAATGAAGAATGTCCTAAATTAAATCTGGCAGACCTCGAAATGAGAAATTATAAAATGAAAGATATCATCTCTTTATGCTTTGTAAAATAAGAGGCTCTTCAATGCTCGTGCCAGCCATCCTTCCTGGTTCTGGAATTCTGTCTGAAAATGAAACACAGACAAAAATATTCTCATGATCTGGAGCTCCAAGGTCTCTTTTCTACTATTACCAACTTTGATGCACAGTATCATCATAGGGGATTTAGGCAATTTTACAGATTAATGTTCCCACGCAGCTGTAGGATATAAAAGCTTTGTATTACTGAGAGTAGATTTCAGACAATGTCCAACTCAGCTGTACGAATGAGGTAAAGAACCACCACATTTCACACCTTTGCTCAGGATCCCCAGTCTGCTGGGATACTCATACATCTAAATAAACAAGATAATTTCTAAAGTGAAAAGCAAGCTGGATGTTAAATAAGAGACTTGGCAGGTTGAGTTTCTGAATATGCAGCCTAATGAAAAGAGTAGGATAATTAGTATTTTAAACCCACTGCCTTTAGGTCTCTACTAACATACTCCACAAGCACATGCAGAAGTAATTTCAGAATATATCTACTTAAAGGTTCAAAGCCTTAAAAATTTATGTTTTTGTTTAGTTCTGAAAAAAGCAATGTGCTGTTGTGTCTCATGATTGATCCTGAGTTCTGTAACTAACAGTAACCAATTAAATCTCCATGTGAAGTTATATTGGAGTCAACAGGGCAGGGTGACCCTGCAGAGTCAGCAGAAACAAAAGTTATTTTAAAAACAATTCTCCTATACACTCAGTTTGTTTTAAAAATGAAGAATTTCTGATAGGAATAATTGTTTTCTAACAAAGAGGTAATTTATAGTAGTTTTGCAAAGGAAATTTTGTTTCTTCAGCCCCCTCTTCTGGCAGAAGAAAAACATCATTGTCTCAATGAATTAACTGTTTAAAAACTGTGAGTACTTCTCACCCTTTTTAGATATCAGTATATCTCAGGCTTTATACTTTTGAAATTTTTGGATACAAACCAAACAGTTCACAGTATTAACAGGAGAGTAATAAATCTGCACAGTAAAAAATGAAGCAATATGCCCAGAAGTCTCTTTGAAGGAAAAAGCTGGGCCAATCAACCTCTTCATTCTCTAGCTTAGGTGGTATTCATTGTAACCAGTCCAAAAGCAGACCAGAAAAGGCAAGTAAGATTTAGCAGCATGTACTGTAGAGCAATGAACTTTGGGCTTAAGCTCTTGTGGCAAATAGGATCTGAATTATGTTCTCAGAAAAGGTTTATGGCCATGTAAAGAACTGACAGCTGAAGAGTTAAGAACTTTGTATAGAAATTGGGTTAGACCAGATAAGAAACAGAGATATGCCCACTATTTAATACATTTTATTGAGATTTTTGGTTAAAATATTGTGTTGAATTCCCAGTATAGTGAAACTGTCTCTAGCTGACCCTTTTCAGGTTTGTAATAATATAAGGGAGCACAATTTGGCCAGCTGAACTTTTAGGGAAAAGGCATTTGGTGTCAGATGAAAGCACTCCTTGCACAGAGAAGGAGGCACACAGTGTCCAGCTGCATGGTTATGCTATTATAGACATATCCATGGTCTAGCAAATCTGGTCACAGATAAAAGTTCTGCAAAAATAACATTGCACACACCTTTTTGATTTCTCTCACCAAGTGGTTTGCCAAGGTTCTGCTTTGGATAATTCAGCAAGGATGCTTTTGGAAGGATGTTCTGGGTATTTTCTTCTTTACCAGCATGTAAGAAATGAGAGAGAATTCCATACAGGAGAGGTCTGCTTAAGGGAGAAATTCAAAAGTAGTCTGTAAAGTCTATGAAATACTGAGCATTAAAAATACACCCTTCCCCCAGGACTTCTTAGATCTTAATATTTATAAAATATGTACATGTCTTTAATAACTTAAAACATATCCAGGTATCATTATATAAGTAAGCACAGACCTAAGCTCCCCCTGAGCACCAACACTGCCCGAAAAAGCTCAGACTAAGGGACACTTCCCACTGAACTTCAGCTCCGCCGGCAGGTGAAGAACTGGAGTGGGTTCAGCACAGATCCACATTCTCACCCATGCATCAGAAGGATCCACACGCTCACAACAGATCAGACTTTGGTGTGCCAGTCTACCATGGCACATCTCAAACCTGGCTCTTCCCAAGCACTGACAGGTTCAGACAGCACAAGCACAGAGAATGCTGAATGTGTCTGAACCTGCCTCAGCCTCAGGTCACTAATGCAGTTTCATTGCAGCACTCTGATTTTATATCTGATCTTTCTATTGCTCCACACAGCAACTCACAGATATGCAAAGAGCAGATCTGCTTTCTGTACACTGTACTGGTAAGAGAGTTGTGTTTTGGTGCACAAGGGCACTCTGGAGAATGCCACAGTGTTGGCAGAATGCAGTGTTAGTTTGGAGTATGCCTGAACACGGCCCCATGTTTGGCATCCTGAAGCTGAATCCAGCATTTGAGAACATGCGTGGGATGAGCTACATTTTAATTGGTGAGAACATCTATATCTGTTTTATAATTACACTAAAGAGAAAAATATAGTGGCATACAGAATATAACTGTGATTCCAAAATTCCTCCTTACACTGATTTTCCGCTTGCATCTTCAACTATATTCAGCTCTTTGGCAAGAAATTGTCTATCCAAGGGCACTTCAGGCTGGCCGGATTCTGGAAAACAAAATCCCTGGATCTTAAGACTGGTAAGAAAAATGTCACCAATGAATAGAAGACTTGAAAAGATCATGAGAACACACACCTCCCTTTTAGACTATTAATAAGTAACAGTGTATTGTAATTCAGGGAACTCACTTAAGCATTAGCGATTCATACAGGTATAATTTACAATAGCACATTACAGTTTTTATCTTCACTCCTAAAGAATCTAAGAAAAATATTAAAGAAATTTTACAGTATAAAGATAAATTCATCAGGCAAACAACTCTTTCTCTAAACTACTACTCTCAAGCATGTCAAGAAATTTGAGTTTGCAGGCTGTTATCAAGTTTTCTTGCCTTTGCATCAACTACTGTGTCAAACAATTTACCTCAAGTGCAAAGGAGAGGAGAGTAAGTTTTCTTGAAAACGAATGGAGTGATTTGGCTAAATGCTGCAAGTAGAGCTGTGGAGAGGTTGTTTGTACCCCGTTAATTCCCAAGGGAAGACAAGATTATGCAGCTTGTCACACTTACTGATTCCATAATATCAATGGAATTATTTAACCAAACAATCACTGATTATTATTACAGCGATAAGACAAATTCATGGCCAATACCTGCCGTCAGAACAGATGCTGAGTATTTATACTTGTTGTACTCCAGGTATTCCCGAATGAGCTCATTGATCAGCAGGTTCTCCCGGGACAGCGTGGGCCGCGGCTCGCTCTGGTCATCCAGGGCATTGAACACCTCAGCTCTGATCCTCGCTTTGATTTGGGCAAGAGCTCCTCTTTTTTCCAGTGTGTCCTTTAGAACTACCACCATAAAAAGGCGTGTTAATTTAAAGCCAAACGCATTCAAGGAGCAGCAGCAGCATTAATTAGCCCCGATACAAACAGAGCTCTGGCGTGTGCCAGCGCCACAGCGATAAGGTATCGGCACCTGCGCACGTGCCAGGACCCACCAGCCAGGCACGTCCCAGATAAAATTCAGCCTTCAGAAAAGTCACAAATACAGTTTTTTATTTTTTTAGTCGCAAGCATACATTCTGGCAACTTAAGAAACAGGATGTTACTGCACCAATACTGAAATATACGGAAATATACAGCCCGCAGTACATGACGGGGGGGCAGCGCCAAGGGACGGGGGCCCCCATGAGCGCCCGCGGCAGCTCTGAGACCCATCCGGGTGGCCGCGAAAGGCCGATCCACGCTCCTGCCCTCCCGGCGGCCCGACACATCCCCGACCCCGGCCCCGACCTGCTTTGAGCTCCGCCACCGTAGCCATGGCCGCCGGCACCCGAATGGCGCCGTGCGCACTGCGCAGGCGCGGAGCCGGGCGGCGGGAGCTCCCTGAGGGAGCAGCGCGGGGCCGAGGGATCACTGAGGGGACACAGCGGGGCCGGGCGCAGGCGGCAGGAGTTCCCTGAGGGAACAGAGCGGGGCCGAGTGCCGGTAGCGCCCTGAGGGGACAGCACGGGACCGGGAGCTCCCTGACGGGACAGCGCAGCTCCCGTCCGGCCCCTCAGGGAGCGGAGCCCCGGGGGATCCCTCTGCTGCCAGCGGCCCCCGGGCCGGGTCGTGCCGGGATAGAATAACCAGCATCAGCAGCGCCTCCGTGCTACCCGTGGAGCTACCGCTCGGTGTCTCCTGCTGTCCAGCCCCGTCAGCTGGGCGGAGTGTCAGGGGTGCCACGCTTTCTCCTTCTGTAATTTCAGAGGTTGGCAAAAATCGGGGAAGGAAGCATGGAAAATGAGCGAGAATTTCTTCCATGTGTGCAGCGGGGGAGTTCTGCACGGAGGCCTAGACAGATGTACTGTTGATTAAAAGGACTCGCCAAAGCCGAGCTTCTAATGAGAAGAACTTGCCAAAATGTAACTGTATACGGGGTGTTTTGCAAGCCTGAGGATCCCTGGCGTGACTGGAGGCTTGTGTGTGTGCTCCGTGTTGCTGGGATGAGTCAAGAGTGTTATTCTGTCAATGCATGAAGTATTTCCCAAAGGAAATGCAGCCGGGGTGGGTGAACAAACTGGATTTGCTATTGTCTGCTGGGGCTTGAAGGAAAATGTGAGTTGTCTTAGGCAGTAAAGGCTAAGACAAGGCTTATGTCTGGGAGTTGGGGAGTTTGTTAGGATTGTTTTGTTTTGTTTGTTTTTACATTTCCTCTCAAAGCAAATATTTATATGACAGTCTTCCAAAGCCTCTCTGGTAGACGTCAATAAATAAAATTTAGGAAAATCAGAAGTGGTGGTGAAGTCATTGTGTTTCCTTAGCCCACCAGTCGCTGGCAGTGAGTCAGAGCAGTGCTTGCCCCATGGCCACCCTGAGCCTGCTGCCCGGATCCCCAGGGTGACTCCAGGGACAAACAGCTTTAATGTTACAACATGTTTAATGTTACGGCATTTTCAGTCTAAACATGTTTCTCTGCATCCTTCCAAACTTCTCCATGACCTTATGAGTCACTCTTGATCACACCTGATTTCCCGTTAATAAAGAGTTGCAGTTTTCCACACTGCTTCAGTTTTGTGTGCTGCTTCAATTTGTATTCTACCAAAAAAATAATACAGAATTTTGTGTAGTTCTTTTTTCTGCTTACAAGGGAATCTCCCTTTTAGACAAGATTTCAGTTTCTATTTGTTGTATTAATCTCTGTGTTAAAAGATGCTGTTTACAACAATGGTTTGTGAAATCCACGTTCAGTGACTTTCTGGTACTCTGAGATTTGATTCCGTATTTCTGCAAGTTTGGCCTCATGTCAGCTCTAGTTTTTCTCCTCCACAAAAAATATTTCGGATCTGTTACATTTTTCTTCTGAACTCTTTGGCTTCCTCTCACATTAATTATTTACTCTGTATTTTCACTGTGTTTTGGTTTACAAGGAAATAGAATTAATTAGAAGAGAACTAGTTTGATGTGGAAATCCAAGAATAATTTTTTGAGGAGAAACATCATTGACGTGAAGCATGGCAGTTGTGACATTGGGACAGTCTGGGGCTGAAAGAAAAGTATTTGGAATGTGAAACTTAAATTTTGTTAGTTTTTTAGCTTACAGTAAACATGTGGGTAAAAAATGTATCTTTCTAGACACTCCTCACTTCATGCTTATTTACTTTTGGATATAAAAATAAAGGGAATCATACTTGAACATTTAGCTGTTCTCTTGCAATACAAAAGATTTTAACATTATGAATTAAGGTATGGGTTAAACTGACAAACTCGTAGGAGTTCTGGCACCCAGTGTGTGGTTTGATCTTTCTGTGAAGATTCTGCTCCGTTCATCAGGGCAGACGGGAGCTGGGCGGGCTGGACTCAGCTGCTGCTGCTCTTCGACCTGACACCCTGAGAATGCCGGATCCAGGGGGACAGAGCAGAAATATTGCAGCCAGATGGACAATCTGGCCACCACTAGCGCAGCTCTGAAACTGCAGCTCTGCAAGGGCAGGTGAATAAAGAAGCAGCCTGAGATAGTTTTGTGTGTGCGATTCCTGCTTTCAAGTTACACATTAAACAAACAAGACCTGTCTCTTTTTAACAATTTTGTCTGTTACCGTGATTGCTGTGGATGGACAAGAGCATTTTAAATTGAGGTTTGTGTCATTGAAGATTTCAGATATTACTGAAGAGTACTATGTAACCACCCTGCTATTTCCTGCAGCATGTAATGCCATGCCTACATATGTACCTCCATACTCTAGCTGGGCTATTCTGGTACAGTAGTCAGGCGAGCTGACTGCGGATTTAACTGGTGCATTTTAAATAGGATGTGAAGACACCGTGAGACACAACCCAATGCAACCACAGGGCTGTGCAGTCAGCTCAACTACTGCGTATTTTGATGCAAACCTGGTTGTGGATGAAGTTGTTTTGGTTCTGTTCGTGCTAGTCAAATTGAACTAGTCAAGGGCATTGAAACCAGTACAGCTGGTTCACGCTGAGAAGTGAGCTATTTGAAGGTGAGCTTAGGCTTTCCCTGGGGCGTTCCCCATGGGCCCTGCGGGGCCCGGGTGCCAGCGGGGCATTGCGGTGCCTCTCCCCGGGGGACACGTGGGGACCCTGTTCCCAGGGGACAGAGCAGCGCCTCGGAGAGGGCGATACCGTCATGCCCACCGCTGGCTCCGGCCCAGCCCGGCGGGCAGGTGCGGATGCGAGGCGCAGGGCCCTGGAGGCTGCTGGGGCAGTAGACCCGGGCAGGCGGGCGAACCCACGGTGCTCCCCAGGGGCAGCGATTCCGCTCCGCTGCCGCGGGGCATTTCTGCGTTGGACAAAGGCACGCGTCGGGCTCCGGCCGAGGCTCCCGGGCCCGACGCCCACCCTGATGCGGAGGCGTTGGTGACCCCGCGGGCCGCGCCCAGGCCGGCGTTGCGGGCGCACCCGCGGTGCCGCACGCGGCGCTGACCGGCCGGCCCTGCCCGCCCAGGCGGGGCCGCGCAGCGCGGGCGGCGGCGGCGGCCGGGGCTCGGCATCCCCGTGACGCGGAGCCAATCAGGGCCCCGAGCTGCCGGTGCCGGCCCGGCCCCGCCCGCCGCCGCTCGGCCGGGGAGCTGAGGACGGGAAAGCTCTGCCGCGGGAACCCGCGGTTGCCTCGCCGCGCTCCATGGGGATCGAGAGCTTCTGCAGCGCGGACGCTTCCGAGCCCTTCTGGGTGAGCGGTGCCATGGGGCCGGGTGCGGCTTGGCTCGGCGGTGGCGGCTGCCGGTGTCGGCACGGAGGGATGGCGGGGAGCCGGGTGGGGCTTGGGTGGTGACGGAGCCCGAGGGGCTGCGCCCGGCAGCGGGGGAGCGGGAGCCGGCGGTGCAGGCGCTCTCCGGCAGAGCGCGGGTGCTGCGGTGCGCCCCGGCCGTGCGGGGTGTGTTGCTCCGGCGCGGAGCGGCCGCGGGCCGGCGGGGCCGACTGGGCCGGGCCGTGCTGTGCCGGCCGCTCGTGGTCTCCGCCTGGGCGCGGTGTCCCCACGGCCGGGTCGCGGAGCGGGCGCGCCTCGTGTGCGGGGCTTCCGGCGGGGAGATGCTTGGAGGGGAACTGGCCAGGCGGTGCCTGCCCGGCGCTGGGAACGAGCTCCGAGTGCCGGGACAGGGCTCTGCCCACGCGTTTGGCCGCTCGCTGCGTTCCTCGGGGCGTGCGGGTAACAACAGTAACGGTATCTGACGGCCGGCCGCACTCGAGAGCGGCTGGAGGAGGCCACGGAGCAGCGCTTCCAGCAGTTCTATCGCACCTTTTACAGCAGTATTTTGGCTCTTCTTTAGCGAAGAGTGGTGAGCGCAGGTGCTGTGCTGTGCGTGACCTGGGCACAGGTGAGCGGTGCGGGCACGTTGCGGTGGCTCTCGCTCAGCTGAGACTCTGGTTCCTGTGCGGGGACACGCCGGTCCTGGAGCAGCACCGGAGGGAAAATTCATCGCAGGAGCAAACTGGTTGTGTGTAGAAGGAGGTTGCGTGGAGGAAGGAAAGAGCTGGAAGTTAGGAAGATAAATCCGGAGTGAGAGCTACTGAAGTCAACATAAGAACTACTTGTGTAGTCATCAGATGTTTGCCAGAGAGTTTTGAGCTATTGAGTTGCCTTAGTAGTGAAAAAATAAACAGAATCAGATGTCTCAATAAATACCATTGTACTATTTATCTCAAGAACAGTTAGGATATTACTGAGTACATATCATCATATTAAAATCATCATGACTAAGATAATTAGTTTTTTCCAGCTGATCAAAAGTGACTCTGCTAACTTGCTTTTATATTGCTTATACTAACATCTCTTTTCTGCTATTTCTCAGGTTTCTCAGAACTGCCTTAATTATGAGTTGTCATTATACATATTTTTTTTCTCTTCCCTAGAATGAGACTTTTCATTTGAAGGGCTTAGGAGAATGCATGTTTCAGAATGAGTTTATGGAGAAATTGACTGGAGAGAGTAGTAGGATTGTGACAAAGAGCTGCCAGCTCATTCTTTGAGCTGTGAAATTGTAACATCAGGTAGGCACAAGAGAAGTTGTGCCACACATAGGAAGTTGGAAGCAACCAGTTTATATAGGATTTTTCACAGCAGATTCTTTTATTATTAAAACTGTTCTCATGTGTATTATAGCCATTTCTGGTATTTTTGTAAAAAACTACTCCATACATTTTTTTTCACTAATTGCATTCATTCACAGTGTTTGGGATTTGACATCCTTCTCCAAATCACATGGAGTCTGCCTTTCATTTCTTGCAGCTAAAGATCCTGTGGGTGTGGTTGTTAGATTTCTGGGCTCTTCTGATTCTGCAGAAGAATAATTGTGCATTTGAGTGAGGGTTAGATGTGCCTGGAAAAAACTTCTTCATGCTGACCTTGTCTTCACAAGTAACACTCTGTTTCCTCTTTGTTGCATCAT